CTGACCCTTAAAGCAAAGGACTCAAACTCCTGCATATAGGATTTTCCACTTCCACGCGTTCTTTTATTCTGTGAGAAATTAGGTCCTGACTTGTTTTTGTGGAATATCAGCCCAATAAAGGCCTCCCCTTGGGACTACAATTTAAAAAAAAAAAAGCCGTGGGAGTGAAGTCTTATTGAACAAAGTTTCAAAATTAGATAAAACTTGCAGTCGGCTCACTGGAGAGGGTGGTGCACCTCCCTCCCTTCCACAGTTTCTAGAGAGAAGCAAAGAGAAGCTCCACGAACCAGCCTGCTAGGGATTTTTCAGCTGATTTCCCTCCGAGCCGAAACAGTCCCTAGACAGCTATGTTTTTCTAATGGCTTCTGGCTGAGATAAATTGTCCTTGATTGGGATGGACTTCACTTTTAACACGCTGTTATTTTACTTCTATTTCATACTTTTTATTTAGGTTTTTCGTATATATTCTCTAGCAAGATTAGTCTAGCTTTCTTTTTGTGTGTGTTGTATTTATTGAGGCTTTGGTATCATGGCCATAACAAGAATAAGAATTATCAGCATCCCATCCCACCCCCAACTTGTTAGAAATGCAGAATCATGGGCCCTCCCCTGAACCAATGGAATCAACATCTGCATTTCAACAAGACCCCTGGTAACGCATATGGACATTACCGTTTGAGAAGACGCCCCAGATCTTGTCATTACTGTACACTGCTCCTTCCGTAATCTCAGTGTAAGCAACCCAGCTCTCAGGTAGCACCTCCTCCTTTCCAGCTCATTCTCCCTACAGTGCTGATTCTAACAATCCTTTCACACATGTTTCATTCCATTGGTCCTATCACTTTTACAGGGTGTCTCCCCTCCTACTGCCCCCATACCCATCTGCATTTTCTCACTCCCTCCTTACTGGCTTGGACTCAACAGTTGGTCATTATTATTATTACTTCCTGTATATAACCCTCGCCTTCCTTTCCCCTTTCTCTCTCCATGGAGTTATCTAGCAGAAATAACCCTGGTTGCATCCAACTCCCCACCTTCCTGTGCCTGCACCTTCCCAGCAAAACGTGGCCGACAGAAAAACACAGAATAACCCCGCTGACTGGTCCTTCTTTACATCTCCTCTCCCCTCAAACTTCTGACACCTCCCCACCCTCCACACGAGGAGCTGATGACCTTGCTTTCTATTTCCCTGAGAAAACAGAAGCCCTCAGAAGGGAACATCCACATGTGCCAGCGCCTTGTCCAGCTGGCTGCCTGCCTCTGTGCCCACACTCTGCCTGCCCTCTATTACTGTGAGTGGACGCCGCCTTGCTGGTATCCAAGGCCAGCCCTTCCGCTGTGCGCGGCAACCTTTTCTTGCTCACTCAAGGACAGCTCTCCAGAAAATGCCCCCCCACCTGCATCATCAAATTTTCTCTCACTACTGAATCATTCCCATCAGCACTTAAGCCAGCTGTAATAGCTCCCATCCTAAAAGCAAAACAAAACGAAATAAAACAAAAAAATCAGCTTTGACCCCACATTCCCCTCCAGCTACCATCCCATTTCTGTGCTCCCCTGTAGAGCAAAACTTCAAGAAAAAGTTGTCTACACTCGTGGTGTCTCTTTCTAGAGCCCCATCCTTTCTAGAGATCTTCCTAGGTCTCATTCTTTCTAGAGATCACTCCAATCAGGCTTTCCTACCCACCCCTGCTGAAATAGCTTTTCCCCATGCCACTGGTTACCTCTGCGGTGCTGACACCAACATCAACCTTCCTTGCATTACAGCCGCAATCGTGGCACTGATCCGAGCTCCATCCCTGGTCGCCCAGCACACGATGCTCTCCTGGGTCTCCTCCTGCCACCCTCTGCTCAGAATCCTTCGCTGGTTCCTTGTCATCTCCCTGACCTCTCAGTGTCGGGGGCCTCGGCCTCATCCTTGGCCTTGCCCTGTATTAACACTCTTTCTCTTAAATGATCTCATTGAGTCCTGAGATTTTACCTATTCTGAAGCCTCCCGAAATTCTCTCTTCAGCCTGGACCTCCCCTTCAAACCCCAGACTTCTAGATCCAGCTTCTTACTTGGGTGTCTAACAGGCAGCTCAAACTTGATATGGCCCCAAATAAATTCCCTAGTTCCTCCCTTCACATCTGTTTCTGTTTGTCTTCCCCGCTTCACCAAATTGTATCTTCCAGTTGCTAGGGCAAAAAACCCAAAAACAAAAAAACTTAGAAATCAGCAAAATCCTGTCAGCTCTACCTTTGAAATATGTCTAGCACCTGACCGCTTCTTTACACCTCCACGACTACCACCCTAGACCAAACCTGTCTTCTCTTGACAGGATTGTTTCAAAAGCCTTCAAACTGGTCTCCCAGCTGAAACCCTCAGGCCCTTCAGGCTGGTCTTCACACCAGGAGCAGCGTGATCCTTTTGAAATGTCAGACCACATCCTCTCTCTGCTCAAAACCCTCCAAATAGCTTCCCATCTCGTTCAGAGTAAAAACCAAAGTCTTCACTTTCGTCTATACACTACCCACGCCCCTCACCCCATCTCTACCGGCTCCCCTCACTCAGTGCTCTCGCCTTGATGCGCTCCACTGCGCCCCTCAAGCTTCCACAGCACATTCCCACCTCAAAAGCTTGGTCCTTGCTGTTCCCTCTGCCTTTCCACGCACATAGCTCTCAGCATGCTCTTTCTTCTTGTAGCTGCTCCCTGTGGGAGAACTATAAATAGATACCCTGCACTCTCTCCCCTCCTTGGCCTGTGTTGTTTTTCTCCATCGCACTTAAGACCGTCCAGTATCATAATGTATGTTGGTTTGTTTAGTTGGTTGTCTCAGGAGCAGGGACAGTTTCGTTCACTGCCCCACCACCTAGAATAGTGCCTGGCACACAGTGGATACTGAAAATACCTGTTCAATTACCAATTAAAAACAAAGAAACAAAAATATACATGTATGGCATTTTTATGTACCAGTCTCTTGTCAGAGCCTTGCAATGCATTATTTCCTTCATCCTCATAAGCCTATGGTGCTCTATTATTATTACACTTGCGTGTGTGTGAAGGAACCCGGGCACAGGGACATGAAATAGCCCATGGATACTAAATGATGGAGCTGGGATTTATTTATTTTTTTAAATAACATATGTTTTATTTCTTCAGCTGTTATTTTTGTGTGTGTGTGAGGAAGATCAGCCCTGAGCTAACATCCATGTCAATCCTCCTCTTTTTTGCTGAGGAAGACCGGCTCTGAGCTAACATCTATTACCAATCCTCCTCCTTTTTTTCCGTTTTCCTCCCCAAAGCCCCAGTAGATAGTTGTATGTCATAGTCGCACATCCTTCTAGTTGCTGTATGTGGGATGCGGCCTCAGCATGGCTGGAGAAGCGGTGCGTTGGTGCGCGCCCGGGATCCGAACCAGGGCCGCCAGTAGCGGAGCGCGCTCACTTAACCGCTAAGCCACGGGCCGGCCCCTGGAGCTGGGATTTAAATCCAGGCTGTTGAGTCCTATTAATCTGGATCATTCCATCACTTTCCACGCAGGAGAGGATGCTACAGAGGATGCTCAAGTGCGAGTTAAGTCCATCGAAAGTACGAAACAGTCGTCTACACCAAGTCAGCTCCTGGCCTTTAGCAGAAATAAAGCTTTGTTAAGAGTTGAGGAAGTGGTCGTAGAAAGCGGGCGAGGGATTCCGCCAGGAAGAGTGCTTAGACAGACGAGAAAGGGCTGAGCACCGACATTTAAGAGGCAGATGACAGAAGAGGAACTCCCGCCCTGGCTTCTGCTTTTCTCTGCGTCCGCTCCCGCTAGGGCCTGGGCGCGGACTCCGGCGCTGAGTCCGCCCGGCCGCCCGGGGGCGCCCGAGGCCGAGGGGGGCGTTGCGGCG